AAGAGGGATAGAGAGAAGGAAGATGAAGAACCTGTTATTGATTTGTTGAAAATGATGTTGCCGATTCATCTTGCAGGGAGAACTTCACTCAACCATGTAATCTTTGTTTGAAAAAAATAAATAATAATATCAATCATAATAATAATAATAATAATAATAATAAGTGTAATCATTATTTATTTGGCTTGATTAAAAAATATATATATATATATATAGGCTGTTATTTATTCTCTCTCTAGTTAGTAATTGATTTTTTGTAAAATATCTAGAAAACATAACACCTACAATTATATATTAATACATATTTTATATATGCCAATTTTAAAATTATTTTTTGCCACAACTTGTAATATGAATTTCTGACATATAAAGTCATTAATTGTTAAAATAAAATGTAAAAAACTCAATTGGTAGTGATTTAAAAATATGAAATATATTGAATCATACTTAAAAATTAACAAAATTGATCAAAATTTATTTTAAAACCCAATAAATATGATTTTGAAAAAAAAAATATGCATATCGGTAAGTTTTTTTCAAATTGTGTGAAAAATAAAAAAATTCACGGTTTCGATTACCGCAACCGTTACACTACAGTCTTTACACCCTGCAACCGCAACCGTGCCACCGCTACTATTATGGTGACCGTAACCGCTTTTCAGAACCTTGGTAGCAATTTTCAAGGTGAATTCCTCATTGCTGACTCTATTTTGCAAATTATAAGAAGAGCATACTGTTTATGTGTACTTTGATTGATTTTAGAAAGCACCAAAATCTTGGACCAAAATCTTCAACCAAAAACCTGTGAGTGTTACGATTGATTTTACGATGCAAATTTAAGTTAATTAAATGTAACGGCAGTGATGGGGGAGAGGAGGGAGGGTGGCAGTAGTGGCAGGGAATGACAAAGGAGCTGACTGCTCATCTTGGTTAGGGTTTTTAGAGAATGGAAGAAGACAATGGTATATTTGTCATTTTGCATTAAGATTTTATTTGGATACTCAAATTAGGCACCTGTGTTACAATTTCCACCAATTTGGACAAAATTGTAATGATAAACACTTTAGTCCCCAATCATATCAGGGTGAAATGATTATTTTTAAATGAGAGGGAGTTGAAGTACTTTTAGGACAAACCATAAAAAGATAAAATGGATTTTGGGGAAGTGCTCATAGGGAAAACCACAAAGGGTTAAATGGATTTTGCCCTATATTTGTTTATCATTCTTTTGTTCAGGGTGGAGGGAAGGGTTTGTATGTCATATACTATGCCTGTTTTGCGCAATACTCCCTTAGTGTAAATTACTTCCTACAAAAAATAGTTTACCACAAATGGTACACTTTAAAAATTAGAAAGAGGGTCTAGGTATTCGTTTCGGAAAGGAGAGTGGTGAGTGGTAGCTTGCCACCCCCAGATTTTTCACTTTCCACTTTTGTTTTTGTTTTGCTTTGTTTTGTTTTTGGTTTTTTGTGTAAATGATGGGTTTGAACCCTGGTGTCAAGTCACCACTATGTTAAGACACCAGTTAGCGTGCAAATAATCTCTCCTTTATCAGTAATTCTACCAGCATCTAACCTTAGGAAATAGTACATCTAAGTTCCATCACCAAAGGTATTCATTATTCAAGATTAGGGTTGGGGTTCGGGGAAGACAGGGATGGCTTAAGTGCAGGCCTCTTTCTGGATTAGAGAAGAAGTTTCGATTACCACAAAGAGGTGCTTGTACTCAACTCTAGAGGCTTAAATATAAATTCCTACATACGTAGTTTATAGAGTAATTAAAATTTGTGCTGAATTAAAATCTTAAATTTAACCAATCCCACAGATTCAGGAAATGGAACAACACAACAATACATCCCAGATGCCTCAGTCATTGTGTGAACATGCAAAGATTAGATCAAGATGATACGTGCAAGATCAGCAATAAGGGCATGCAAAAGAATCACTCTTGTGTTTAGTCACACAGAAAGGTCCAATTAACAATTAGGAAAGAACAGTAGTATAGGATTTCAGTATGCAGATCACTTATAACCTACATATTTGGCCAGCAATCAAATAATAAATCATTTAAGAGAAAAATTGTTCACTCCCATGATAGCAAAAAAAGGTTCTAATCCAAATTCAGAGCACCAGAACTCGAGAGTGGATGCAACTAAACTAAATAAATAAAGAAATAAAAGTCCACATTTTAGAAAAAAGACTAAGAACAAAAAGAGATGAAGGTGCTACCCCAACAGTTCAATGTTGAAATAGATATACAAAGACTTAAAGGAATCTGAAATTATGGGTGATGGAGTGATCATCCCATGAATGGCACTCTCGACCAGAAGTAAAGCAAGGAGATAGTTACGAAGGTGCTATCACAAGCAACAATTTTACAAAGAATTCACTAGTGATGTCCAGATCCGAGAAGTTCATGACTACAAATATGAGCTCGGAATCTCAAACAAACACAATGACAATGCGGCTGAATATGAACCTTATGAATATGCATGTAACTCACAATCACATGGAGTTGTGCTGATCCCAGCATATTTGAAAATAACCCACACACCATGTTCACAGAAAGGGGAATAATAGGTTACGAGTAATTCAAATTATTTGTTAAAAAAGCCAACCTTGACATAACATGAAGTTCTAGTACTTAGGATTTTGCAATAAGCAAAGCCACAAAAGAAAGATGCTATCTATTCTAGCAAATCATAATATTTGCAAGCTAGATTGAAGGTTCCATGGCATTACTTCGTGGGATGGTTTTAGTAGAGCTAAGAGCAGTGCCAAGTGTTGGAATTTATACCATATCCCACCAACGCAAACAGGAAAGCACACTCACGCACACACCAAAGAGAAAAACCAATCACGTATAGATTTACGTGGTTCAGTCCAAATTGCTTACATCCACGGGAGAGAGAGCTTCCACGATGAATAAAATAAAAAATACACGTGAGATGGCCAAAACACTCAAAACCTACATATCACTACCAGAACCCCATGCTCAAGAGTAGTTGTGTCATTGCTCACCTTGGTACCCACAATATTTTTCTCTCACCCCTTACATCTCTATTTTTACCTCACTACTCTCTCAAAGAAACCCTATAGTCCACATTACTTTTTATAATAATCTATCAATGAGAATCCTAACTCTATACAATTAGGTAACCAAATCCTACCCATATTAGGTTTCTCAGTAGATTCCAGATTCTACTATCTTAACCCAAATATATGTATAAATCAATCTAATAACTGTATGAGACTTACCTTTATCACATGGGCAGATTAATCCTAAGACCAAGGCCATGCATTGGGAAGTTTAATCTCCACACTATAGAGATGGGCAACTTCATTAGGCTAAAAAAGCAATTGGTTGGTTATGTTGAATACATGTTCTATGAATCGTACGATTTGATACGATTTTCGTATAAAACAATTCGACTTGCATACTGGAATTGTAAAATCAAATTAATCAGACAATTCATCGTCGTAATCGACATGATTCGTCTAATACACACTACTCAAATTTCTTTTTCTTTTTTTTCCTCCTACCCAACTCTATTAAACGACATCATTTGACGTCTTTAACTAAAAAAGAAAGCACAAATAGAAGAGGAGTCGAGAGAGACAAATTGAATTGAAGACGAAGTCAAGCTGGGGTTTGATGAGAGAGAAGACGAAGGAGACAAAGTATAATCTCCAGTTAGAAGCAAGACACCAACAAAGGGTAGAACAAGGAAATGCCTATGAACCTATTTCTCTATCGGATATGGAATCTGATGATGAGTGGTTAATTGAAAAAGATCCTGCCTTACTTGAGTACACCGCATGGCTAGATATTGATGAATGTTTTCAAGTTCAAGTGGGATCAAGTAACAAAAAGAGGAAGAGAGGTAATATACTTTTATGCATTCAAAGTTCATGGGTCTACTGCCTGAATGTTCAAAATGACAAATACGAAACTTCTTACTCTTATTTGTAGGGCCTAGAAATCTCAACAAGACAAGTAGAGGGAAACAAGTGGTTGAAGTTGATGATGATGATGATGTTGATGAAGAAGAGATAGAAAATATGGAGCAAGTAGATGTTGGAAGTGAAGATGACGAATTGATCAATGTTCTTGATGATGACATGACTGATATTTAGAAATTAGACTTCAATAGTCTGTTGTGTTGTATGCCACTATGCCTAATGATGTCATTTTGGATTTTGAATTTTGTCAAAAGCTAGTTTTTGAAGCTTGAACTTTGGTTTGATCTATAAACTTTTGGAGCTTCCTTTTAAATCAATGACAGTTGAAACAATTATGCATGAAATTTATATTATATTGTTAATTTTTTCATTTTAAGCACTATATTTGTCATTTTATATGTATATATATTTTTTGTATAAAAAATATATATATATATAATGTTTGATTCGATTCACGATTCAATTTTTTAGAAATACGATTCACGATTCGATTCGCGACTTGACAATCATGGTTGAATACATAATGCCACTTCCTACGACTTCTTTAAAAACAAGCTTGCAGGTGCAATGTCAATGCCATAAAAGACATAAGTAAAGGCCTAGGTGAGATGGTGGGACTCCGTCCGACAAGTGCTATTAGAGCTAGGTTGTCATTGGTTTGAGTAGCAGGAGCGTCATCGTGAAAGAGGGATTGTTGGGTACACAATCCTGCTTCCTATGACCACTGTAGGATCCGAGCTTGCGGGTGCAATGTTGAATGTCATAAAAGACTTAAGTGAAGCCATCTCTAAGTTTTAGGAGACAAGGTGAAACCCAGTATGACAAGTGGTAAAAACAGGGCAGCAGTGTCTGCCTGTTGAAGGACACACTAAATGCAGTGTGTCTAACATTGCCACAGAATCTACCTTGCACTCAACTTAATCAATTCTCTACATCCTTAAGCTACAGAAATTTCTTTTAAACAGGCTTGACTTGTTCCTAATTTTCAAAAAGATACTTATTACCGATGAAATATGAATATTTCCACTAACCGCTTCGAGATTAAAACAGGCCATAGACTCATATGGCAGTCAAGAACTCTTCATTTAAACATAATACAAATTCAACAACATGAATTACAACTGCATACAATAAGTGGTTCCATAAAAAACTACATAAGTCATATCATTACAAACAACATAAGCACATCTGAAAGATCTAATTCTTAACATTTTTGCAAGCTATCATCCACAACAACGCTAACCTTTTTATATCCGAAATTCGTGGGATGATGCAAAGAGCATTCCTCAGGGATCACTGCAGTCCTATTAACAAAGATTGTCCACAAAAACAGCGCCATGAACACCACCAACACTCCACACCCAACTGCAAGAATCAACCCAGAAAGCATAGTTAATGGACAAGGAACTTTCTTATGCCCCGCTTTCCGATCACGGCCTTTATCGGAGTGAAGCCGAGGATCAACTGGCTGAGAATGCATCCAATTTGGGACACTCCTAACTCTAAAGTTCCATGAATACACAGTACTAGTCTGTACTGAATTACCACTAGATGAGCTTATTCCCACAAGAACCTCTTCTCCTTTCCATAATTCCCCCAAATCGATCGGAAAAACCATCAATGGATTGTATGGCTTCGCATTACCCATTTTACTCAACCTAATTTCCAACCCTTTCGAACTCGCATCGTAATCGATCCAAGTCCGTAGCTTCACTCCACTGTTGAGAACCAAATTGAGAGACGAAACATTGCTAACCCTAGCTGAAACAAGACTACACACATCAACACCCACATGATTCGCATTCTCATCGCCCACATTGCTGTCCATCGAAGTATCGAATTCAATCCCAAGGAATTTAATTCCCCGGGAAAACCCGAACGAGGTTTTACCGGCATATTTCTGGGGGAAATTAGTGGGAACGATTACCAGAGCAAGTCCATCGCCGAAATGGGGAGAGATTGAGAAGGAGAAGTCGGTGGAAAACGAAATGGGTTTGATGGGGTGGTTCGATTCGAGGAATTTGAAGGGTTTGGTGTGAATGAGAAGACCAGAGCTCGAAGCAATAGGACGAGTGAGCTGTATTGAAGAACCGCCATTGACGATCTCGGCGTCGCCGAAGAGAGCCAAGTCGGAATCGAAGCTAGGGTTTGGATGGAGAGTTGGGAGTGAGAGTGAGAAAATGGGTTTGGAAGCTAGGGTTAGGAGAGAGAAAATTGTGAGGAGATGGGTTGAATCCATGATTAACTGTATTCGATTTCACTTTCTTGCTCGGAAACGAGTAATCTGATGAGGAGGATAGGGTTTGTGGATCTGGATTTGTAAGACTGCCGATAAATAAATAAATAAATAAATAAATAACTATGAGTTTTTTTTTTTAATATTAAAATAATAATAATTTAAAGAATTGATTCTCTTTTCAGACTATTTAAGAAATTAATTTTAAAATCACACGTTTAAAATGCAATATTAGGTCGACATAGATTACGACACGCTAATGTGGCAAGTTGAAATCGCATATTAAAAATGAGATTTCAAATTGACTTGGCTTCTGTTACGCTGACATAGTAAGTTAAAATTGTATTTTTAACATTCAATTTTAACATAAACTCACATTTTGAAAGAGTGGTGTTATTAGACCCTATAAATCATTTTGGACCTCCTATTTCTTTGAACTCTCATTTATAAATTTTGAAATCCTTAAAATTTCTTTTTACCCTCCCAATAATTTCAAAATTTTCCTCACATATCCCACCCTTGAACACCCCCTACACCCTAAAAAAAAACTTTCATTCCAAAAAAACCCCTAATTTCTATGCCTCCTCTCATTCTAATTTCTCATCCTTTTCACTTATCCTCTTTTCACTTCCTCCCTAATTTCCTACAAACCTCACTCAACCATCAACTTAAATCCCATGAAAATCCACACATGTGAAGGGCGTTGACGAAATGGGTGGATAAGATATCCTTGTCTGTTGTGCATCCAAAACTTGTTCTCCATCGATCAAATGAAACAATTCATGTATAAGAGATAATGGCGGTGCTATGGATAAGAAGTCTTGGTGACTTAATAAGCTCCTCCATTTTCTTGTTTCTTTGTAAATTTAAATTTGTTGTTTCTTAGTAAGCCCTCTCTCATACATGATGTGTTTCTTAATAAGTCTCTCTATCTGTCTCTCTTTCTCTTCCTCTCTCTCTCTCTCATTGCTTCTTCAAAATTGAAATTTTGAATTCTAGGAGTGTTAAGAATTTTAACCATTCAAAGTGTTAACAAATTTTCATGTTCGGACCTGCATTCCCAAACAAATAAGCTATGTTTGGGAATGTGTTCCCGAACAAATAAGTAATGTTCGGGTCCATATTCTCGAACTTGGAAAAATGAAAACTTCTGGGAGTGTCAAGAATTTTAACCATTGAAATTGTTAACAAATTTTCATGTTTTTGGGGAAGATAGATGGGTGGTGATGGAGATGGGAGCTCTCATAAACCCTAATGAATCATGTAGTGGGTGTGTGTAGCTTGACTTTTCATGCTCCTTTCAGATACGACTAGCTCTACAGTTCGAACCCCCGTGGTTCTAAATCTGATTCCATAAGTGCAATGTGAAATAGATAAATACAAATGAGTCAGAATCTGGCAATTCTTTTGGAAAATCGATTTTGAATCAAAATGCTAAAAATGGACTGTTATGCCAAAAATTGACTGTTTTGCCAGATATAGAGTCGCCACCTAAATATTTTTGAGAAATTTAGGAAACCCATGACTCGTGCTAAAGGCCACGTGTCTGTCATCACAAAGATTGTCTCGGCTCAAGAACTTAGGTACGAAAGGGGAATGTCATGAATTGAGCACCCCACTCGCTTGATCAAAGATCGGCCTCTACTAATCATGATGTGATTCTTATCTACATTATATGCTCTTATTCTGATTATTAGACTAACTTTACTATGTGTTGCACACAAGTATATACTAATTTACAAAAATTGGAACACTTTGATTTCATGTATGTTTTTGAAAATTGTTTCGAATATGTATCACTTAAAAAAGTGATCTCATATGCACATTTGATCATATTATCCCAATTTAAGCAGTTAGCGTTCATCCACAGGCATTCAAGAGTTATATCAATTAAGCACTTAGCCTCATGGTAATCATGCTTGACATGGCAACAATCACACTCATGCGATATGCTAAAGCAGTAAAGCTTATCCCAATTCTCGATGCGAGACAAGAGAGAGAAAATAGTTACAAAAATGCATGATTCTAACTAATGCAATATGCCTAATGCAACACATACAAGATGTAATTAATAGGCTCGGCTACTAATATGGCATTTGAAACAATTTGATAGTATGCTGTTTCAACACGTTTTCAACGAAGTATGTAAACTACAATGCTTAGTTAGAATGATGAGTTGAACCTCATACATGCAAAACAAATGGATGCAAACATGGAAAATGCTAAAAGAAATACGATGTTCTAAGCTAATCATCATAAGCGAGTAAATAAAAGGGAGAAAGATGTGAGGTTGGAAGACATACACATTATTACATTATTACCCTTACGCAGGAGGGTTCGAATAAATGGACTAGTTAATTAATTACCTAATTAACGAACTATTACAATACCCAAAATAAATTAGCTACATTAGCTAATTAACTAGTTAACTAATTAGTACAACATTACATTAACTAATTATGTTAGCTAATTAATTAAATACAACACATAACTAGCTATTCTAGCTAATTAGTACAAATCAACTAATTAAACTAATTAATTACATTATAGAATTAATTAATTAACTAAGTAATTAATTACAAGTTCACTAACAACATACTACTATAAACAACACAAATCTAACGGGTCCCGAGGAGCAAGGAAATGACCTATGCATGGAAGTAGATTTCCACCCGAAAATGCCTCTGTTTGGCTGCCAAAATACTTCTGTTTTGCAATTAGGGAATTGCACTGATTTTTCACCTCAGTTCTTGCTTTGTTCTGCAGGAAACATGACACTGCTTTGTTGGAAAAAGTGGCTGGCAACCCAGAAGTACTGGCCAACCGACCACTAATAGTGTGCCCAGTAAAAGTGGCCTATTGTAGACACCCCATTTTTGACCGACCTTAAGACTTGGGCGCTACTGATGGCTCTCTTGGTGATGAAAGATGTGTAGGGCAAAGGTTCGACTTCTTTGGGAAGGAGAGAGTCAAATCCAACCTTATACCCCATTTTTGGACCAAAACTATTTTGATCAAAGATTTTAGACTTTAAAATCCTTTCTTTCAAAATGCATTTGAAAATGATTTCTACGATGTTCCGACGCTCACATTTTGTTAAATGTCGCACTTTTCGGTAAACCGAGCAAGGACAAAGTGGAAATGAATGAAGGAGAGATAAACTCTTTGAAAAATCTTTCAAAACACCTTGCTTAGGGGTTTGGAGTTGAAGAAAAGAGGAGAAGAGGTAAGAAACCAAGTTGGAGAAGAAGATGGGCATAAATCGTTAAGAGAGAGTCGAGCAGCCCTCGCTAAATCAGGCCTATCCTTTTGAATACTTGGATTTCAGCTATGAGGCCACCACCGTTGGAAAGCTTACTTCCGGGGCTTCATTTTTCACTTAAGAATCTCCTAAAGCTGAGTCCGGATGGGGGAGATATGATTGGTTGAAGTTGGGCATCATTCCGATTGGACCAAAACTGAGTATCCTTCACTAAAAGAGGAATATCTCTTAGCACACATGTAATTTTGATGTGGGGCTTCCATAATTGGAAAGAAGACTTCCGGGGCTACAGTTTAGGCTCAAGAATGACCTAAAAAGGAGTCCAGATGAAGGAATTAGGCTTGCTTCAAGTCAGGGACCAGGACTGATTTTTTCCATCGGCCTCTATGGGATTGTATCGGTCACAATTGAACCTCATCTACCATAGGTCGGCCAAAAGTGAACCTTATCAGCCACAAATGTTGGCCAATCGGCCAAAAATGTCCAGAAAGCCCAGAATTGGCAGATATTTCTCCTCCAACTGTTTCTAGCTTGTGCCATCTATCCTAGCTTAGATATTTTCAACCAAGCTTGATATTTTGCTATATAATGAAGCCTTATATCTCATATTCAAGGGTGAGAAGATTGGGGGATAGATTAGAACAATTTTGGCAAAAGTTTTGGGAGCCTCTCTCTTTAGAAACTCTCTCTAGATTTCACTATCTCTAAGGATTTTGTGCTTGAAGGCTTGCATACATCCATCTTCAACCTATCAACCCTTAAGAAGACTTGATTGCCATTGGGATGAGGTCCCTTGGAACTTGTTTTGGGCTGCTAAAGCTTGGTTTGGCTCAGATTTTGGCTGGTTTTGCTGCTGAGCTTCAAGGTGCTTCAAGGGTAAGCACTTGCTCCTTTAAACCTTTGCTTTGCATGCTTGTTTTACCACATTTGTAAACTATTTTTGGCTTGGTTTTGAACTGAGAAAATCTCTGTTTTTCAGTCCTAAAAGTGATGGTTTAGGCCTATTTTGTGTTAGGGGGTTGTCTCTCCCTTTTGTTTCTTAGCTTGTATAGCTTTTGAGCCATTTTCTAAGGCCTTTCAAAACAACTTTTCGTGGCCTTTTTAAAAATCCTGTTTTGAGGCCCCAAATAGGAGAGGGTGGTCCCTTCTCCTCTTGTCTTGTTTGTTAGTGTTGATGGCCAACCAAATGAGCATGTATTTTTACTTCTTTGTGGCTTTGTTTAGGCTCATTTTTGTGACTTTTTAGACCTGCCATAACTCTGTTTTAGGCCGGTTTGGTCACCTCTTGCATGCTTTATACACTTGTAGTGTAAATTTGCACACTAGCCTAACATGCATCATGCTTTTGATTATCATTCTAGCATGATTTTGGCTTAACTCTGAGAAGCTTTTGGTCATGTTTTAGCATGCTCTAGGTTTGATTTATGTTATTTTGGTCATGCATGCATTGCTTTGTATAGCCATGGTTCAATCTAGCTCATTAGCTTCGTGTATTGAGTCCACTAGCATGCATTGCTTGGACTATTTTCATGATTTGGCATCATTTCATATATGATTTCAGAGCAAATTTCATGGTCATGCACTCACAGCAAAATCATGTTTTCTCTCTTTCCATGCTTTGGAAGGTTGGTTCTTTATGCCTTAAACATGAGCCATTGTGTATGCCATCACGCCTAAGCTTGCGAGCTATCATTTCAGTGTGTATTTGGGGTTATTTTGCCATGATATAACTCTGATTTTTTTTTTGGCGAAGCCATCTCATGCTTGGTCTTGGTAGGTGTAGTGTAATCCTCCCTTTTGGCCTTGCATACATCATGCCTTATGCCC